CGCGTGCCAGCAATCGCACCCTGGACAGTGGGCAGGGGCAGGGTTGGGCAGGGGTCAGTGCAGAGAACCCAGGATGGAATCGCAGCCAGTGCCGGGGCCTGGACGAGCACCCACCCGCCCACCCTTCTAGAGCTCTTCGTTCACACAGTGGCCTATGGCCTGGCTTCCCCACTCTGCCTCGGGGCGCGGCACAGCCGGCCACGCCGCTCCTGGGGGGGCGGGTTACCTTTCATTGGACACGTGCTTTTCTTGGGGTGCAGGATGAGAGAGCCTTTGTACTCCCCCTGGAGACGGCAGTACCCGTCGATGAGGTCAGCCATGTTCTCGGCCTCTGCCAGAGAGGAGGTTTTGATGGACAAGGACTGCAGACAAGAGACCAGCCGAGGATGAGACCCCAGAGGCTTGGCTGAGTCGACCCCACAGGACCTTGGGGACCCTGCCTGCCCCCACCTCCCCAGGGGGCGAGGCTTGCATTCCCCGACCACCAGGGGGCGCTTTCCGCGCCTCCCTTTCCTCCACCTGAGCCCCACGGGCCTCTAGCTGATTCTGGTCTCTGGGGGTAAGAGGCACAGTGTGCGCAGCAGGTGCTCAGTAAGCAAGAACAGAACAGGGAAGGGAGGTGGGAGCGGGCAGGGCGCCGAGGGGGAAGGAGACCGCTGGGTCCTCCCTGGATTTCTGGTCACATTTATCTGCCCTTTCTTGATATATATAATATCTTGAAGATTCAGTTACTTGTGCACACAGAACTGGGGCACAGGCCAGAGGTACAGGGGCGGTAAGCGGATTCACCAGAGACAGAGCAGGGAGCAGCACAGGCCGACGGACAAAGTGCACTGCTGAGGGGAGCAGCGGGCGGTCAGGAGAGGTCTGCCGCGCCCTGTGGGTCAGCTCCGTGGCAGGCGGGGATGGAACTCGCACTGAAGCTGCTGCGTCTAGCTCGCAGTGCTGCGTCCTGACCCGTTGCACCACCAGGGAGGGCCTCTGGATATTTATTAAACAGCATCGTTTCCTGACTAATGTTCCCTATAATTTATCATCATCCTGGTTCCTTCTCCAAGAACCAAGTGGAACAAGATCCCAGAAGCCAGGGCACCCCTGCTCGCCCCGGTCAGGCAGCCCCGTGAACTCCTAGCCCCGGTGTCAGGGCGCTCACCTGGGGGGCACCCTCGATGCCCAGCTGCAGCACGGCCTGGCCTTCCTCCAGCGCCAGGCACTTGATGGACTTGATCTGCTTGAACTCAGCCAGGCACGTGGGCTGTGGGAAAGGAGGGGACCTTGAGACGGGCCCGCTCCCATCGCCAGGCCAGGGTAGGCCGTTGTGGGGCCCAAGGAAAAGCAGGGAGTCTACTGGGCCCTGAAGAGAAACCAGATTAGCAGGGCTGGAAGGACTTGGTGAGTCCACTTCCCCCGAGGATCTCACTCGCGGAGGAGAAGCTGAGTCTGGAGAGAGCCAGGACTTGCCAGGTGGGCGGTAGAGCGGGGCCTGGACCCCACCCTCGGACTCCCGGGGCCCTCAACGACGCCGGGGAGGGGGGAGCCGTCTCTGAGCCAGAAGGGCAGGGATAGCACCCTTCTCCCTCGCCCTGCCCGACACCCGCCACCTCTGTGCCGGGACCAGGCACAGGAAAGAAAGTGCATCGGCCCCGATGGCCGTCACCCCAACCTCTCTGCAGCCCCTGGGCGCAGGGCGGGCGCTGAGGAAGTGGCCTGAGCTGGGGGCCGGGTCCCCTCTCCTCTACCTTTGCGTCCTGGCTCGTCAGCTGGCGGATGCCTTTGGGGCCGATGACCAGGTCCACCATGATGTTCCACCCTTGCTGGAGGCAGAGAGGAGACTGTTGCCCCACCTGGCTACCCCCGGAGGTCAGACGTTGGGACAGCAGCTCCCTAAGCCCAGCTCCCTCCACCTGGACCCCAGGCAGACCGCTGCCCCCAGGGCCCTGCCGCCCTGACCCCAGG